ACAGACGAGACAAATGCTGCGGAACGTTCCAGACTTTTTCTTGGTGACTCCGAGTTTTTCTTCTTTTTTCCGATGAGGCGATTGTGCTGTTACAGAGGGAGGAAGTCGGAGTTCATCAGTGTAGAGACGTCGATGGGCCCTGGTCGAACCAGAACCTCGAGATACGAGTATTTCGAGATATGAGGACACTTGATAGACACCGACGCTAGGCGGCTGAGCGCACGCGATTTTCTCTCTATTTTGTGCATTATTCTTCATAATAGTGATGAGTCCTAAGAAAGTGAGTGGTAAGGATGGTGGTGAGAAGAAGAAACACATGATGACCATGATGAAATAAAGCATGAAATTGTTGATAAATATGAGTGTGGTGCCCGCTAAAGAAAGAATGTAAATCTAAAAAAGCTAAAAAAAAAAAAAAAGTAGTGTACGTGTACTTCTAAATCACGTAGATAACGCAAACAGTACAGAAGACTCTCGGGAGATGCGTATGGAAGTCGATGAACACGCGAAGTGAACGAGTGAGGCGGCGTGGGCTGCTCCGAGTGCTTTATATCTATTATATCTTTACGCATATCTCAAAGCAAAAATTTGCTCATATCTCGGAGTACTGTTATGTTGGGACGCTGGTATCTTGATGTTCCACTGTATATGTATATATATTAATTGAAGTAAATGACAACTTGCTTACATATAATATGGTGAAAAAGAAAATAATTACAGTATTTTCCGGACTATAAGGCGCACTTAAAAGTCTATAATTTTCTCAAAAATTGAATGTCGCGTCGTGCCTCCAAACACCCGGAGACTCTGCGTTGTGTTTTATAATTGTCGATGTATGGTGCGATGCAGGACGATTTTTTTTTTTATATTTTATTTCTCCTTTTACAGGCAAAACACACACTCTCTCTGCAAAACAACATCTGCACGGAACAGCGTCAAAACAACAATACGGTGACCATCCAGAACAAAAATAATGACAACCGCCTGACTCTGGAGGGGCGAACAACAACAGCGTCCTCCTGTGTCCAACTTGGGTCACTACCCTTTTCCACAAATCTCCGTCCCTATTGATCCATGCTGACCGATACGGTCAAAACCCAAGTGAAGCAAATTCATTCAGGGCTTGCCATCATTCCGAGTGAATTAACCAATGAATTCCAACTGCTAAATATTGGTGTTAACAGGGCAGTTCAAAGTTAAATTGCGAGCTGACAGAAGGCGAACACACAAGCGAACTCACCAAGACAGAGAGGCAACGCCGGGCGAATTACGCCACTATCTGCCAATGGATCGTGGATGACTGGGCTAAGGTGTCAGTCTCACATGTCTGGGCTAAGGTGTCAGTCTCAAATGTCGAATCATGACTGAACAACTAATTAACAGCAACGAGACTGACTCGGATATTGACAAGAAGGATCCGAACATGTTAGATTGTTCCGCTTAATTGTTTCGCTGACTGTTTTGTTTTTCGCTTAATGCGCCTTATAACCCGGTGCGCCTTATGTATGAAAATATTCCCGTTCATTGATAGCGCGCCTTATAATGCGGTGCGCCTTATGGTCCGAAAAATATGCTAAATAATTTTATTTACTACCTTGTTCCGGAGGGAAAGGGAGCTTCCCAGCATGTAACGCCATTTCTAACGCCTGGTCCTCCTGGGTCACGAATGGCTCCAGGTGCAAAGGCAGAGACATCAGAAACTGCCCTATCTGGAAGAAAAACAAAATATCAAAGCAGATTGTTAAAGACGATCTGGTAGCCCTCTATTGCCTCGTTTGGTTTTTCATTACTTTATTTTCATCAAACCTAACTGACATTTGCAATGTATTCCTGAGGAGACAGGCTGAACGTTGGCAGGTCCTCTGTGTAGTTCTCTCCAAGTCTAGGCACCTCTTGATTCTGATTACAAAAAAAAAAAAGGATACTTAAAAATACACTATATGACCAAAAGTATTGGCTCACCTGCCTTGACTCCTACTATGAACTGAAGTGCCATCCCATTCCTAACCCAGAGTTCAATATGATGTCGGTCCCCCTTTTGCAGCTATTACAGCTTCAACTATTCTGGTGAAGACTGTCCACAAGGTTGAGGAGAGTGTTTATAGGAATTTGGTGAGGTCACACACTGATGTTGGTCAAGAAGGCCTGGCTCTCAGTCTCCGCTCTAATTCATCCCAAAGGTGTTCTATGGGGTTCAGGTCAGGACTCTGTGCAGGCCAGTCGAGTTCATCCACACCAGACTCTGTCATCCACGTCTTTATGGACCACTGA